ATAGTGAGGGAGCAGCAGGGTGCATGCATGCATGCAGTGCAGTGCTCTTATAGTGAGGGAGCAGCAGGGTGCATGCATGCATGCAGTGCAGTGCTCTTATAGTGAGGGAGCAGCAGGGTGCATGCATGCATGCAGTGCAGTGCTCTTATAGTGAGGGAGCAGCAGGGTGCATGCATGCATGCAGTGCAGTGCTCTTATAGTGAGGGAGCAGCAGGGTGCATGCATGCATGCAGTGCAGTGCTCTTATAGTGAGGGAGCAGCAGGGTGCATGCATGCATGCAGTGCAGTGCTCTTATAGTGAGGGAGCAGCAGGGTGCATGCATGCATGCAGTGCAGTGCTCTTATAGTGAGGGAGCAGCAGGGTGCATGCATGCATGCAGTGCAGTGCATAGTGAGGAAACAGCAGGGTGCATGCATGCAGTGCAGTGCATAGTGAGGGAGCAGCAGGGCCGGGTGCATGCAGTGCAGTGCAGAGGACCTTTTGAGACATCTCAAAGCTGTTCCAGAGCCAGTGGCTTGAGTAGTGAGGCGGGATTGAGTAGCGAGGCGGGCTTGAGTAGTGAGGCGGGCTTGGGTAGTGAGGCGGGATTGAGTAGTGAGGTGTTCTTGAGTAGTGAGGCGGGCTTGAGTAGTGAGGCGGGCTTGAGTAGTGAGGCGGGATTGAGTAGTGAGGCGGGATTGAGTAGTGAGGCGGGATTGAGTAGTGAGGCGGGATTGAGTAGTGAGGGTGTACAGGGTGCAGTCGGTGCAGGCTCTACTGGTGGAGGTGCAGCCCAGGGTGGAATTCACCAGCTGCATGTGGCTCGGGAACAAGGAGCTCGTGGTCCGGTACCGAACCGGGATCAGGTACGGTTTTGTTCCTGCTCTCCCGCCTCTGCTCTCCCACCTCTGCTCCCACCTCTGCTCTCACCTCTGCTCCCACCTCTGCTCTCAACTCTGCTCCCACCTCTGCTCTCACCTCTGCTCCCACCTCTGCTCTCACCTCTGCTCCCACCTCTGCTCTCACCTCTGCTCCCACACCTCCCCACCCCACCAGGTCTGGGAGCGTCTTCACACGCACCTGAACGGCTTTCAAAATATGCACGAGGAGTTGTCACCCACATTCCCTGCAAGGCAACTTCACCCCCATGCCCGCCCGCCCTCGCCCTCTCATCCACCCACCTCTTGCCCACACTGCACCCCTCACCCCCGCACCCCCTCCCCCCCGACCACCCCATCAGGTCTGGCAACGTCTTTCACACGGACCTGAACGGCTTTCAGATGGTGAGGAGGGAGACACTCGCCCGCATTCCCCTGCAAGGCAACTTCTACCCCATGCCCGCCCTCTCTTCGCCCTCTCATCCACCCACCTCTTGCCCACACTGCACCCCTCACCCCCGCACCCCCTCCCCCCCGACCACCCCATCAGGTCTGGCAACGTCTTTCACACGGATCTGAACGGCTTTCAGATGGTGCGGAGGGAGACACTCGCCCGCATCCCCCTGCAGGGCAACTTCTACCCCATGCCCGCCCTCTCCTTCCTGCAAGACCCCTCTGGCCTGCGCTTCTCTGCTCACACGCGCCAAGCAATGGGATGTGCCAGCCTCAAGGTGAGCTGCTCCTTCCCTCCGCCTGCTTCACTGCAGGGGCACACCTCCCCTCCCCTCTGCCTTCCACACCACGCCCACGTCTACCCCATGCCCGCCCTCTCCTTCCTGCAAGACCCCTCTGGCCTGCGCTTCTCTGCTCACACACGCCAAGCAATGGGATGTGCCAGCCTCAAGGTGAGCTGCTCCTTCCCTCCGCCTGCTTCACTGCAGGGGCACACCTCCCCTCCCCTCTGCCTTCCACACCACGCCCACGTCTACCCCATGCCCGCCCTCGCCTTCCTGCAAGACCCCTCTGGCTTGCGCTTCTCTGCTCACACACGCCAGGCGATGGGTTGTGCCAGTCTCAAGGTGAGGGGTGTTCCGAGCCGGTAGAAGGGTGAGAGGCAACATGCAAGCGTGCGTGCGTGCTTGCAACCAGTGCAAGCAGTGCAAGCAGGGGGTTGAGCTGACTTTTGAGTCAACTCCAAAGTCACCTCGTGCAAGCAGGGGGTTGAGCTGACTTTTGAGTCAACTCCAAAGTCACCTCGTGCAAGCAGGGGGTTGAGCTGACTTTTGAGTCAACTCCAAAGTCACCTCGTGCAAGCAGGGGGTTGAGCTGACTTTTGAGTCAACTCCAAAGTCACCTCGTGCAAGCAGGGGGTTGAGCTGACTTTTGAGTCAACTCCAAAGTCACCTCGTGCAAGCAGGGGGTTGAGCTGACTTTTGAGTCAACTCCAAAGTCACCTCGTGCAAGCAGGGGGTTGAGCTGACTTTTGAGTCAACTCCAAAGTCACCTCGTGCAAGCAGGGGGTTGTGCCAGTCTCAATCAAGGTGAGCACTCTCCTGCCCGCCTTCTCAACGCGAGTCATTTCTTGGTCTCGCTATCTGCATAAAAGCCTCTCTCCACCATGCCTCCCTCCCGCTCCTTCCCCTATCTTGCTTCTCTCCCTGCTCTTCACCCCCTCCTCCCTCCCCTCTTCCCCTCACCGCCTTCCTCCCTCAGAGCGGGTGGCTAGAGATGGTGTTGGACCGAAGCACAACCAGGACGATACGGAAGGGCACTCCGTGCGTGACAACCTGTCAGACACTCCGCACGGAGTGTCTGACAGCCGCCTACTGCTCTCCCTCCCTGCTCCACCTCCCCCTTCCTTCCCTCCTCCCTCTCCCACCAGAGTGGGTGGCTAGAGATGGTGCTCGACAGAAGGCTGAACCAGGACGATGGGAGGGGGCTCACACAGGGAGTGTCTGACAACCGCCCACTGCTCTCCCTGCTCCACCTCTCCCTCGAAGCCAACACCTCCTCTCGCCCTTCCCCCTCCCCCTCCTCCTCCGCTCCTCTCAAGCCCTCCCTCCTCTCCCACCACATCTCCTCCTGGCTCAACTACCCACCTGTCTTATTCGTCGGGCAGCCCGAAAATTCCGCGGCTGTGCGCGAACTGGTGGCGCACGATGGCTCGGGCAGGGAGAAGGCTGCTGATGGTTGGGGGCAGGAGGGGCGGCAGGGGGGGCGAAAAGCAGGTTCGGGAGTTGGGTCGGTGGAGGGCGGGGCGAAGGTGGGGGGATGGGAGTGGGGGTATGCGCCCCTGTCACGGCCTCTGCCCTGCGACATGCACATCGTGTCCTTCAAAGTCCACCGCCCACTACCCAACGCCTCTGTGAGTGCCCTTGTTGTGCCCCTCTTGTGGGGAGGGGGAGTGGGGGTATGCACCTCTGTTGTGGGGGATGCGAGTGGGGGTATGCGCCCCTGTCATGGCATCTGCCCTGTGACCTGCACATTGTGTCATTCAAAGTGCACCGCCCACTGCCCAATGCCACTGTGAGTGCCCAATGCCCTGGGGGACTCGGGTAGTTTACTACTTTGCTTGACGCCACTGTGAGTGCCCAACGCTTCAGTGTCTTCTTACAGTGGGTGCATTCGCCGTTTTTCCTCCATATTCACCCCCTTCTTCCCCCACCCCTCCCACTCGCTTTTTCGAGATGGCCTTAGATTCATATTGTTCCCAACTGAACCGTTTCAAATCCCTCACAACCATGCAGGCCTCTGCCGAGCCTCCAATTGCACTGCTGCTGCATCGGCAAGGCTTTGACCGCAGCTTTGCTCCTCCCCCCCAGCTGCGCCGCTCATGCCGACCCCCCCAAGCTTCTGGTGCTGTGCCCCTGCAGCAACTGTTCTCAGACAGGCTGGTGGAGGGGGTGGAGGAGTATCCCTTGAATTTGGTTCGGAAAAATAGTAGTACCGGTAGCCTGGTAAGGAATGGAAGTGGTGCTGGGTCGGGGAAGGGTGGAGATGGCTCAGATGCTTTGGAACGAAGGAGCAAGAGCGAGCACATCGAGCCTATGGAAATAAAAGCGTTCAAGTTCTGGCTTGGGAGAAGGCATAGGAATGCATAAGCTTTGAAGTGCAGTACTTATCTATCAATCATCTAGAATAATGTATATACCGTACTTCCAGTATTACACAGCGTGTACCCTTTTCAGGTCGGCGCAACTTTGCTTACCTGCTCGCCTTCGATTGGTCCCATCAGTTTTGGTCCGTATGCCCGCCGCCAATGTCGTGGTTGCTCGCCACCAATAAGGTTTCCGAACCAAATTGAGGTGTCGTCGTCACGTCGTGAGATGTTTTCGTGGAATTCGCAACCACTCACAACCTTGTGATGCGAACCAATCTGCGACAATGCTTTAGGTTTCCTCCTCTCCAACCGTTTTCAAACGTTTTGAACCGTATTTTTTTTCCCAGATTAGGTTTTGAGATCTCCTTGTACCTCACGCAAAACAACCTAGGGTTTGTCATTGTACCTCCTCTGACGAAGGGATGATCTGCTCTCGGACAAACACATTTCACTATCTGCTCGGACTAGGACCACTTTCCGTGTCTATATTACGTTCTGTCACGGACCCAGTTCCACCTCCGTCCTAGTCTTCCATTCCAGCAACGGCTAAACCTAATACAGTATCATTCCAAGCAACCTGTTCCGTGACCGTTCTCGTGTTCTTCGCCTCCGCTAACTGCATCTTGTAGTTCCCTGCAACCATGAGCCACTATGACAACAGATACGGTGACTCATCCTCGTACAGGGACCGAAAGAGGTAATTTCATTACCCAGTTTCGTGATAAAAGTCCTGATTTTCTTTGTGCTTTGATCTTTCACGGTCGGGCTTGCTCATGCCTGTTCGTTTGTATAATTCCTAACAATAACTTGTCTATCTCCTGGTAATCGCAGCGACTTCGGCGGGGGATATGGCGGCGGCGGCTCGAGCTACCGCCCTAGCGGCGGCGGGTACGGCGGCGGCGGCGGATACGGCGGCGGAGGCGGCGGGTATCACGGCGGGAGCAAGCGCGATCTCGACGCGATCACGCTAGCACCGCAGTCCTTCGACAATCTCGCGCATTTCGAGAAAAACTTCTACGTGGAGCACCCGGCGGTGACGGCCATGTCGGAGGGCGAGGTCGAGGAGTACCGCCGCCGCCGGCAGATCTCCGTCGAGGGCCGCGGCGTGCCGAAGCCGTGTCGCACGTTTGAAGAGGCCTCGTTTCCCGATTATGTGCTCGTAGAAGTCCAACGCGCGGGATTTAAGGAGCCCACGCCGATTCAGGCGCAGGGTTGGCCTATGGCGCTTAAGGGACGGGATCTGATCGGTCTCGCGGAGACGGGGTCTGGGAAGACCTTGGCTTACCTTCTTCCTGCTATTGTTCACGTCAACGCTCAGCCGTACCTCGGTATGGCCTTTGTAGACTCCCGGCCCTCCGTTTCGCTTGTGGAATACGACTTGTTCTAGATCGAACCGAGCTCTTCGTTCCAACATCTCAAACCCAATCCGTGCCGTCGCCAATCCTTCTTTCTCCTCACCGCAGCACCCGGAGATGGACCCATCGTGCTGGTGATCTCGCCCACGCGAGAGCTGGCGGTGCAGAATCGAGAGGGGTGATCACGTTGGGAAAATTCGACCCCTTATTCTCCTACTCTTGAATTCTGTTCCCTATACGCAGCACCCGGGGACGGTCCCATCGTGCTGGTGATAGCGCCGACGCGAGAGCTGGCGGTGCAGATTCAGGAGGAGTGCGTCAAGTTCGGCGCGTCCTCTAAGATCAAGAGCACCTGCGTCTACGGCGGCGCGCCTAAAGGCCCGCAAATACGAGATCTCAATCAAGGTTGGTGGTTTTCTTAGTTGCTGGTTGTAGCGCGTCGGCTGGAATTCGTGGGCTGATGAGCTCTGGATGTCGGGCAGCGCGTTGGTTGTAGCGCGTCGCTTGTAGCGCGTTGCTTGTTGCGCGTTGGTTGTAGCGCGTTGGTCATGTTGCTGCATCCGATTTAACGTGCTCCTCGTCTTTCGTCCTTCACGTTTCGTCCCTCGTCGTCTCGCTCCTTCCCTCTAATTTCTCGCTATTCCATCCACGGCCCTGGCGCGGACATTATCGTTGCGACGCCTTGGCGATTCTCATCTCATCAAATCGACGTTCCCTCTCCCTTCGTTCCTCTCCCCTCCATTCCTCTCCCTCTCACCCTCTCCTGTTCCTCCCAGGCGTGGAGATCGTGATTGCGACGCCGGGGCGACTGATCGACATGCTGGAGTCGCGGGTTACCAACCTTCGCCGCGTGACGTACCTCGTGTTGGACGAGGCGGATCGCATGCTCGACATGGGCTTCGAACCCCAGATTAGAAAAATCGTCTCGCAGGTAACTGTTCACGTTTACAGTAGTCACGGAACGAAACTCCTTCACCACTCGCCTCCCCCTCCCCCTCCCCCTCCCCCTCCCCCTCCCCCTCCCCCTCCCCCTCCCCCCTCCTCCTCCCCCACGGCGCCATCCCTGTTTTTCCTTAATTGATGATGCGTTGGCTCCTTTTTTTCTTAATTTCCTTCCCCACCTCGTGCTTGTGCCTTCTTCTCCTCCCCTCTTCCTGATTTACCTCCGGTCCCCGATTACCCGCATATTGCTGTCTCTTCACTCTCAGATTCGCCCTGATCGCCAGACGCTCTATTGGAGTGCCACGTGGCCCAGGGAGGTGGAGACGCTCGCCAGGCAGTTCCTGGTTGACCCGTACAAGGTGAGATAATCCGTACGAGGTGAGGTGACCCGTACGAGGTGATGACCCGTACGAGGTGAGATGACCCGTACGAGGTGAGATGACCTGTACGAGGTGAGATGACCCGTACGAGGTGAGATGTACGAGCCATACGACGTGAGATGATCCGTACGAGGGGAGATGATCCGTACGAGGCGAGGTGATCCGGTGATCCGTACAAGTTGAGGTGAGGCAATTGCAAGGTGAGGCGATCGCAAGGTGAGGCATTGCGGTTTTTTGTTTGGATGTTTGAATACTGTGCGAGAATTCTCAATTGCGACGACTGGAAACACGCTATGACGGCTAAGCGGCACTCGCTCCCACTCCCCCTCTCCCCATGCACGCGTTTCCCTTGCTTGCTCGACTCTCACTGGTTCTGCTCTATCCCCCTCTGTCTGTCCACGTGGCAGGTTGTGATTGGCTCCGCGGAGCTGAAGGCGAACCACTCAATCACGCAGGTGGTGGAGATTTTGAGCGACCACGAGAAGTACCCCCGGTATGTCAAGTCAGAGGGGAGAATACTGATGTCTGCATGCACGCACAGGTAAGTTGGATAGTCACCCATCCTTGCCCCTGCTCGTCTCCCCCACTGGTCTGTTCTGCCGCCCATCGCCACCCCTTCAGCCTGCTGAAGCTGTTGGAGCAGGCGATGAACAGCAGTCGCATTCTGGTGTTGATGACTTTTGAGGCTCTTCGAAAGGACACCAAGCGCGCGCACGCCCTCTGACCCGCCTTCTCCCTGGTCTGTGCTTTTCCCCCTCTCGCCCACCCTCGCAAGTGATGGACGGCAGCAAAATTTTAGTCTTTATGGACACGAAGCGCGTGTGCGACCAGGTGATGCGCCAGCTGCCCCCAGCAGCCCATTTGACTCTCCTTGCTTCTCTTTCCCCCTGCTACCCCCCCCCCCCCCCCCCCCATCAGCCTATTGAAGCTCCTGGAGCAGGTGATGGATGGTAGCAAGATTCCGTGTGCGACCAGGTGACCCGCCAGCTGCGCATGGACGGGTGGCGAGGAGAGGAGAGGAGTGGAGTGGGGGGATGGAGTGCTCTACAGCAGGCCTTTTGACCCTCCGTGCCCCTGCTTCCGTCCTCCCTCCACCCCCATCAGCCTATTGAAGCTGTTAGAACAAGTGATGGACGGCAGCAAGATTCTGGTCTTTATGGACACGAAGCGCGTGTGCGACCAGGTGACCCGGCAGCTGCGCATGGACGGGTGGCCCGCCCTCTCCATCCATGGCGACAAGAGCCAGGCGGAGCGCGACTGGGTGCTGTCTGAGTTCAAGACTGGGAAGAGCCCCATCATGATCGCCACTGATGTCGCTGCCAGAGGGCTAGGTATTGTCTCAGGCAACTGGGTTTAGGGTTTCAGGGGTATTAGGGGTTCGGGGGTAGGTTGGGGGTTTGGGGTGTGGGGCGCACTCCTCTCCATCCACGGCGACAAGAGCCAGGCGGAGCGCGACTGGGTGCTCTCGGAGTTCAAGACTGGGAAAAGCCCCATCATGATCGCCACTGACGTTGCCGCCAGAGGGCTAGGTATTGTTCGGGCAGCAGGGTTCAGGGTTTGGGGGTTGGGGGCACCTGGGTTGGAGGTGTGGGGCCTTCTCTATCCACGGGGACAAGAGCCAGGCGGAGCGCGACTGGGTGCTGTCGGAGTTCAAAACGGGGAAAAGCCCCATCATGATCGCCACTGACGTTGCTGCCAGAGGGCTAGGTATTGTCTGGGCGGCAGGGTTTAAGGTTTGGAGGTTCTGGGGGTTGGGTTGGGTTGGGTTGGGGTTTGGGGCGCTCTCTATCTATCCACGGCGACAAGAGCCAGGCGGAGCGCGACTGGGTGCTCTCGGAGTTCAAGACTGGCAAGAGCCCGATCATGATCGCCACTGACGTTGCCGCCAGAGGGCTAGGTATGGACCAGATAGCAGGGTTTAGGGTTCAGGATCTCTTGGGGTTTGGGGCGCACTCCTCTCCATCCACGGCGACAAGAGCCAGGCGGAGCGCGACTGGGTGCTCTCGGAGTTCAAGACTGGCAAGAGCCCCATCATGATCGCCACCGATGTTGCTGCCAGAGGGCTAGGTATGGACCCCAGGGAGCAGGGTTTAGGGTTCAGGATCTCTTGGGGTTTGGGGCGCACTCCTCTCCATACACGGCGACAAGAGCCAGGCGGAGCGCGACTGGGTGCTCCGGAGTTCAAGACAGGGAAGAGCCCCATCATGATCGCCACTGACGTTGCTGCCAGAGGGCTAGGTATGGACCCCAGGGAGCAGGGTTTAGGGTTCAGGATCTCTTGGGGTTTGGGGCCCACTCCTCTCCATCCACTGGGACAAGAGCCAGGCGGAGCGCAACTGGGTGCTCTCGGAGTTCAAGATCGGCAAGAGCCCCATTATGATCGCCACTTACGTCGCTGCCAGAGGGCTAGGTAGTGGTTGGAAATGCAGGGAGGGGGGTTTTGGGGCCAGTGGGGCTGAATGTTAGGGTTCAGGGCTTAGGGTCAGGGTACGAATCAAAACCGGAGCCCCATCATGATCGCCACTGACGTCGCTGCCAGAGGGCTAGGTATCCACTGCAAGGTGCAAAAAAACGACGTTTTTTTCAAAATTTGATCGTATAATACCGTATCGTAAAAATCAATCGTAAAAAACGATAAAAAACGATTTTTGGAAAATGTGGCATTTGGGTGGAAAAAAACCATCGTTTTTTCAAGAAAATCTCTCATGTGCTGCTGGAACATGGACAATTTTACATAAATAGAACGAGAGGGCCATTAGGAGTGCTGCTGATGCTTTAAAAGATGCTGCGAGTCATTTGTTTTGCTAAAAATAGCATCTTTGAAGTTTTTGTGTTTCTTTTTTCTAACAAAAAAACGTCGTTTTTTTCCCAAAAGCTACCGTAAAATACCATCGAAAAAAACAATCGTATTTTTCGACAACCGTTTTTTTCCACCTTGATCCACTGGGAGGGTTTAAAGTTGATGGCTGGAGTTAGGGTCTAGGTTCTGGGTAAGGGGAACTGGCAGAAGCCACATCATGATCACCACCGACATTGCTGCTAGAGGGCTAGGTTCAGGGATGAAGGGGCGGGTTTAGGTCTTCTGGTTGGGGCGAGGTGCGGAATTGTTAATCTTTTCAACGCTGGGTTGGCGTCTAAGGTTGGGGGATTTGGGGTTTCTGGCGATGTCAAGGTGGCCACTGGGAAAGGGGAAATTTGGGGGCTTTGGTTCAGTTTCTGTTGAAGGGTTTGCGTACATGAGGTTTGTCTCATGGCCCTTGTGGTTCATGTTCAGTTTTCTTTCTTTTATTTTTCTCCCTACTCCTTGTTTCCTGTGCTTCCGGTCAGCTGAATCTCCTCACGTTCGTCTTCCTCTCTGTTGTTCGTCTCTCTTCCCTTGTACCATATCTCTGGCTTGGCTGTCGTGTGTGCAGCCCTAAGCCTGGCCTCTGCTCGCTGCCTTTCCACCGCCTCTCGTATCCCACCTCCATCTCTCACTGCCACTGCCACCGCCACCGCCACCGCTGCCTAATGCGCCAGCCACACACGCACAGCACCCCACCGCCCAGCAGTCCTTGGCTGCTGGCCAGCCTGTCAGCTAGCCACCTTTTGATGGCAGCTGGCTGTGTTGGTGGTGCTTGGGGCGCATGGCATATGGCACATGGTACATGGCCCTGCGATGCATGGTGCACGCATGGGGCATGGTGCATGGCGCCATGCTGTGCTGTGCGGTGCCATGCGGTGCCATGCGGTGCCATGTGGTGCCATGCGGTGCCATGCGGTGCCATGCGGTGCCATGTGGTGCCATGTGGTGCCATCTGGTGCCGTGCAGTGCACAAGGCTGGTTGGAAGTGTGCCAGTGGTGTTGCGATGGAGGCAGGGAGAGAAAGGAAAGGCAAGGCAGCAGGGGCTGTTCAGGCAAAGGGCTGTCCACATGACACACGCGCATGCTGCATCCCATTGCGCACGGATGAAGGTCGAGAAATGTGATTTTTTTTTTTCTTAACTTTTTGTGGGTGGGTTGGTTGTCCACATCATTTCCATACCACCATTGCATTCTCGAGCTTTCTTTTAAATGCCAATGTCTCATTATCATCATCAGTGTTCTGTTTGCAACATTTCTAAGAGCGTGCATTTCCTTTCATATTTCACCATTTCGTTTTCAGTGTTTCATTCAGTACTAATTGTACTCCACTGATTTCATCATATATATATATATATATTTTTGGTCAACTATTGCTTGCGTTTGGACTGTTGCTTATCAGTACTGTATTTTCCAAACATTTATTCCCCCATCAATGCTCCGTTTCTTTCATCCGTTTTGATAAACCACGATTTCCCCAGCATATGTGGTGCATCACGTCTCATTTCCCTTGCTCCCTTTCTGCCCCATGTTTCTCTTCCAATTTGTCCCCTTGTCAGGACTACTGACCCAGCACCTGCGGGGACTACGTGCATCGCATCTCAAGGCCCTTTCCCCCTTCGCCCTTCCCTTTCTTCCATCCATCTCCTGTTTCTTTCAGACGTGAAGGACATCAAGTGTGTGATAAACTACGACTTCCCCTCCACCTGCGAGGACTACGTGCATCGCATCGGGCGCACGGGCAGGGCGGGGGCGACGGGGTTCTCCTTCTCGTTCTTCACGGCAGCCAATGCCAGGCTGGCCAAGGATCTCATCAAGATCCTCACGGAGGCCAATCAAGTCGTGCCACCTGCACTCGCTGCTCTGGGGATGAGCGCCGGCAGCATGAGGGGCGGAGGAGGTGCGTGCATGGGTGCGAGGGGCATGAGTGGTGGGGGAGATGTGTGTATGAGGGGTGGGGGAGATGTGTGTATGAGGGGTGGGGGAGATGTGTGTATGAAGGGTGGGGGAGATGTGTGTATGAAGGGTGGGGAAGGGGTGTGTATGAAGGGTGGGGGAGGTGTGTGTATAAGGGCTGGGGAAGGTGCATGAATCTTAGCCTGTGCCTCCGTTGGTGTTGTCTCCCAAAGTCGCCTTCCCATTCCCCTGCCTTCCTCCACCTATGTCACTCTTCCCATCTGCCTGTCCTTACCTTGTGTTTGTCCTACTCCACCTATGTCACTCTTCCCATCTGCCTGTCCTTACCTTGTGTTTCGCTGGATCTGGAATAATTGTGATGGCATGGATACGAGGGCTCATCTCTGTTTTTGTTTCTTTCATGTCTTGTCCCGTGCTCCTTGTCTCGTGTCCCTTGTCTCGTGTCCCTTGTCCCGTGCTTCCACTCATCAGGCTTCAGGGACAGGGGCCATGGAGGGCACAGGGGAGCCATGCAATCAGGCTCCAACGTCATTCCCCTCGGCACCATGCGATCCTGGGGACCCAGATAGCTCTATTAATTTGAGACGCCTCAAAAAGCGCCATTCCCCCTCTCGGCACCATGCGATCCTGGGGACCCAGATAGCTCTATTAATTTGAGACGCCTCAAAAAGCGCCATTCCCCCTCTCGGCACCATGCGATCCTGGGGGCCAAGATAGCTCTACTACTGTACTCTGTGTGCCCTTTAAGGTGCCTCAAAAAGCGTCATTACCCTCGGCGGGACCCAGATAGCTCAACTACTTTGGTACCTCTACCGCTCTTTCTGCTCAGTGCCGCTGCTTGTTCTGCAGCTCCTGTGATCCAAGCATTCTGATTGCTCTAGTGGCGGCTCTTCTCTTCTCCAGGGATAAGCATTCTGAGTGAGGAGGGCCCCTGGGCATCACATACAAGCTCTCTGGTTCCTCTGGTCCTTTCAAGTCGTGCAATTGGGCTCCAGTCCACTGTGTTGTCCTTGGAAACCATGCACTCTTGGTGGCCCAGATAGCTCTCTGGCTCTGCTGGTGCTTACCACTGAACTGAACCTCTTGGGAAGAACAAGCTGCTGGGCAGCGTGGGGGGGGGGGGGGTGGGGGAACTCCACTGCTCTCTGGCTGTTTGGGAGTTTGTGCTTGTGCTAGGGCAGGGCTTCTGCTATGGATTAGTTAATCACATACCGTCAGCCCCCGGATAGAAGCGCCCCTGGGGGTATAAAAAAACACTGTTTTTTAGGGGGTGCGCTTATAATTGAGGAATTTTATAAGAGCCGGCGCTTATAAAATGGCAAAGCAAGTTTATATTTGTTTTACACCAATCTGTACACCTTGTTCTGCCAATTGTAATCGAGTCGAATATATCTGGGGTCGCGAATCTGATTCTCGCGCAACTTACGGTAGCAGGGATGTATTCCCTGCCAACACATGCTGACTAAGCGACAGCAAGTGCTGACTAGACGCGCAGCAAGTGTGATGTGAGTGGGAAAGTGGACCTGTACTTCGATTCCCTGGTAAAGAGAAATTCGTTTCTGCGTTTCGACTGATTTTCAGATTAAAAAATAGACATGCGCTTATAATAAATCAGAATTTTTTAAGGGGTGCGCTTATAATCGAGGACCGGATATAAGCGCCCTCATCCTTTTATAAGCGCCGGCGCTTATCCGAGGCCTGCGCTTCTATCCGGGGGCTTACGGTACATTACATCCTTGAAGGTAGAAACCTTGATCACTATATGCATTTATTTGACCTTGGTCATAACCTTCCCACAGAGCGCGTACGCATTACCTGCAGTTTCCAAAACTGCATATGGCGCCGTCACCCGGAAGTTTAAATTTCCGCGAGCAGCGGATTTTGATTCGGACCAAACAACCTCGCTGTATTCAAAGTTGTAACGCTTGCGGCGCGCAAGCTTTTCAGTTGTGATGTTAAACGCGGCGAAATTTGAAGTGGTTGCTGTGAAGCAGGAAGAGCCGAAACCCAAGTCGGGCATATCTTTTCCCGATTTGAGGTTTAAGTATAGGAACTTGAAAAATACCAAGTACGATTTCGAAGTGTATCTGCCAAGCAGGGAAGGAGAGACAGTAGTTGGAGTGATTAAATATATACACCATGCACTCATGGAGTGCCATGATGCATCATGGCATTGTGCATGATGCTCCTTCAGAAAGCACAGCTGCAGCTCCCTCTTTAAGGGTAGTGTTAGTAGTATTTATGCTGGTGCCATGACAGCACCAAATGCTCCCTCCACCACACCTGTTCAGAACTTGCAAGAAAACAGAATGGCTGTTCTTGCACAGTCATTGTGGTTTTATAAGACTCGTGTCAGCATCAGTGGGAGAAGTGATGATGGGACAAGCGAACGAGGAAACAAGAGAATGAGGAGTGAATGAGGGAACAAGCGAACAAGGGAACAAGTGAACGAGGGAACAAGAGAACGAGGGAACAAGCGAACGAGGGAACAAGTGAATGAGAAGGGACATACTCAACCACTCTCATCATCCTTTTCCTTTTCAGTCGACTCAAAAGTCAAGCGAACAAGGGAGCAGGGACTTACTCGACCGCCTTCATCATCATTCTCCCCTTGGCTCCTGCGTCCCAAACTACTTTCCCGTTGCGCTTAGTAGGACGTAGTTTGATCACATATTTCACTAGAAACAGCGGGAATGGGCGGGATCAGGTCAGGGAAACTGAAAAGTTAGTAACTATTGAGTTCCGACTGGCAGAGGAACGTGAAGGATTGTGAAGGATTGGGAAGCTGGGGAAGTGAACGCCGGAACTCAACATTCCATCGCTGCTGCACAAAGAATGGGTGCGCCTTTACATCATAATAAGGAGCTAGCATTCAGAACATGACACCACCTGCAGCACGCAACTCAACTGCAGCCTCCAGCACAAAATATTAGGCTGCAGCACTCACATCAGCTGTAGCACTCACATCAGCTGTAGCACTCACATCAGCTGTAGCACTCACATCAGCTGTAGCACTCACATCAGCTGTAACACTCACATCAGCTGTAGCACTCACATCAGCTGTAACACTCACATCAGCTGTAGCACTCACATCAGCTGTAGCACTCACATCAGCTGTAACACTCACATCAGCTGTAGCACTCACATCAGCTGTAGCACTCACATCAGCTGTAACACACGGCAGCACACACCAGCCACTGACGGGACGCATGCCACTGGCGATTAGTGATTAGTTGCGCATGTTCCTTGGCGGGTGTTTCTTTGCGCGTGTTTCTTCGCGCACGGCGATGACAACTTTGAAAGAAAGAAAAACTCATGCTTTCATTTGACTGCCGCCAGCAGCAGAATATTTCTAAAGCGCCTTTAAAAAAAAAAAAAATGAAATTAAATAATCATGTTAGCTAAGTAGACCGCCGACAGCAGCAGCCTGTAGTAGAGTCTACTCTTCTGACACTTACATATCGTCTTCCCCTTCAAAGGTTTCCTGGCCTGAGCGACAGCGAGAGCAGAGGCGCCACCGTCGTGAGAGGAGAGCGGCTCGAACGACGATGAAGCAGACGAGAAGCACATGATATGGCTTGAGAATCAACGCATCGTGACGAGAGGCGCGACTGTCTTAACGACATCGGAACCGCTGTTTGACGAGAAGCTCTGGGGATCCGTAGACAGTCATATCACTATGAGTGTTGATTCTAATGGCAACGAAAGCCTGCAGCCGCACACGGTAAACCATGATAGCAGGGCTTACAGAGAAGCAGGAGGCAGAGGAGAGGCGATGCACGGCGCTCCATGAGATTATTATTCGCGAAGGGTTTCGCCTTGGCTTAGATCCCGGTAGTGGTACTAAGATTAGGCCCTCGGTCGTGCTGCTAAGAAGAATGAGTCAGTCACGGGACATTTGCGGATGGTGGTTTCCGAGCGAAACTGGCAAATGTGTGAAGATATGGGATGGATAGTAGTAGTACCGGCGATGTGCCACGCAGCCGCGTCGAGCCGCACCGGCGAGCGGAAGCGTCTGTCTGTACACCCATTGAAGACACGTTGACTCAATCGGAGTACCGGTTTGGTCGCAGCTTGGCCGGTCGGTGTTACACGTACGACGCTAAGGGTATCCCATGACGTTTTTTTTTTTTTTTTAGTGACCTGATCTCAATCAGGGTAAGCTGGCGGGGTTATGTTGGGCCCATAATATTTCAAAACGCTTATAGGGACCGTAAAAAATATATATATTCAACCCGGGAAGTCGCACCAAGATAACGCACCGCACCCAACGTGGGGCGAGCGTTCGCAAACCACCACCACCTACTACTGTACGGACGAAACTACCGCGTGCCTCGGGGGATATACTCCGTGCACCGTCAGCACAGGTTTTGGGCCTCTCCTAAACAGCATCTGAGTCCCCTATGCGTGTTTTCTGTCCAGCTCTGCTATGCTATGTGTACGGACGGCTACTCCCAACAGACAGCAGAGCCGAGTTGGCGCTACGAAGTTATAGCGCTCTCCCAACAGACAGCAGAGCCGAGTTGGCGCTACGAAGTTATAGCGCACTCTCTCTCCCTCTCTATCTCTGGCTGTACGGTTCGCGCTCAGCTGCCAGCTGAACCTTCCCAGAGTGGCTCCACGTGGGAGGGGATAGTTGGATTGGGTCCCCTTTCCTCCAATACTTTTTCCCCCGCGCCCTGACGTCATTCCCGTGGCGAAGGTGGCGAAGCAGGCGAAACGCATTGGATTCGGTTCAGCCTATTCGATAAGGAAAACAAGCGATGGAGCTCTTTTATATGTTGAGTAGTATTTCATATCATTTCAGTATGTGAAATGTTTCTTTGCAAGTCCAGAACAACCTTCCCGTACTTATTGAAACTTTTGCAGAATCCCAGATTTGCGTACACACAATGTTACTCGGCCTCCACCCAGATCTCTCGCGAGCTACGGTGGTACCCAGTGCGGAGTGCCAATGCTGCAGTGGAGAGAGGGGGTGAGCCACTGAGCCCCCTGAGTGAAAGGAGATCAAGGTACAGTAGGTGAGGGAAGTTGAACCCTCCAACCCGAGGCTTGTGAGCAGCCAGGGGGAGGGAGGGAGTGGGGTTTTTTAAAGCTAGTGCAAGGTCCTTCACTAACCCAGTAAGTTAGCACCAGTCAGAGCCGTCACCATGCTCCCATGGAACACCACCAGTACTCGTACCTCTCCACTCTTCCATATACAACAGCATCCGATCCCCATACTCCCCTGAAGCTGCTTCTGCTTCTGCTTCTGCCACTGCTGCTGCTGTTGACGCTCTTAAAGCCTCTGTTCCCATCAATGCAGCTACTTCTGCTGCTGTTTTAGCTGCTGCTTCTGCTGCTCCATCGGCTGTGGGTGAATTCGTTGCTGCTCCTTGCAGGGTATAAGGCCCCAGGCTTAGACTAGCAGGGGAGTTGCCACTGCTGCTGCTCACACCACTTTCCCTTCGTGCACCAGCACCAGCACTAGCACCAGCACCAGCACCAGTACCATCAACAGTGTTGGTAATCCATCTACCTTCGCTTCTGCTGCCTAAGCCATCCATACCCCTTGCATTGGTTGTGGTGGTGGCTGTTGCTGCTGCTGTTGTTGCTGTTGCTGTTGCTGCTGCTGCTGCTGCTGCTGCTAACGATGCTATCGAGTCTGCTACCACTACTGCTGCCTCCAACTCTGCAGCCACTCCCGCAAACCACATTCTTACGCGCTCCACTAACAGGCTCGGAAGTGCCGAACCTGAACATGTCCGGCCCATCTGGCGTGCCTTGGGGCAGAGCTGGGGACAAGACAGAGGCCTGCCTATGACTCTGAGGCGCCTCAAACAACGAGGCAGAAGCGTGCCTATGAGGAACCTCAAGCAACGAGGCAGAAGCCTGCAGTGACAGCATCCGGGTTTCATGCAGCAGCATCACCTCTCGTATCACCTTCATCTCATGCTCTCGCAAAATCTCCTGTAAGCTTGCCTCGTCGCGCATGTTTTGAGCTGTGGGAGAACTCATCGCTTGACTTGCGGTTTCTTTCATCACCAGCACCTCTTGTGTCACCTTCCTCTCATGCTCCCTCAACAGCATCTCCTGTTCCCTCACCAGCGTTTTATGCTCCCCAACCGTTCCCTGCCGGCCTGCACCTTCGTGCATCCCCATCCCTTCCAGCTGCTGCTGTCTCCTACCATCAAGCCTGACTGGCCTGGCCGAAACTAGGTCACCGGGCAACAGCAAGTCCGAATGCCCTTCAAACCTGACAGTAGAAGAACCACCCAGCAGCAGACCAGCCTTCCCTCGTCCAACCGTGCTTTCCCCTTGTGGGTTCCTCAACAGGCGTGCAATCTCTCGGCCAATCAGCATGTCCTGAAGGCCGGGCGATATTGGCAAGCCCAGGGGAAGAGACGGCGCCTGTGGCGGCAGCTGTGGCAGTTGTAGCGCCTGTGGCGGCTGTAGCGTGTGACATACCAGAGACGGCTGCAGCGGTCGTGGCAGCAATGGTGGCGGTGGCACTTGTTGGGTTGAGTAGACAGGACCTTGTTGCAGCAAATGTGCCTGCAATTCAGCCGGTCGTAGCGCCTCGGTCAGCACCTGTGACGGCTGTAGCACATGGGCAAATGACTGATTCGGCTGTAGTATCACCTGTGCCAGGGGCCGTGGCAACAACTGTGGCAGCTGTAGCGGCTGTGCTGGCAGCATAGCGTGGGGCGGGTCCCTGAGTGCCCCACCTCCGCTTCCCGTGAGTCCAGCCATTTCAGTGGACGGCTGTAGCACACTCGTTAACTCTGGCTGCTGTAGCGCATGGGAGAGCACCTGTGGCTGTTGCGGTGCTTGTGAAAACGCCTGAGGGCGTTGAAGCGCCTGTGGTTGCTGTAGCGCCTGTGATTGGTGTAGCGACTGTGAGTGCTCTAGCGCCCGTGAGTGCTGCTGTAGCGCCTGCAGTTGCTGCTGTAACACCTGGGAGGGCACCTGCGGCTGTTGCAGCGCATGTGACAGCAGTTGCGGGTGCTGTAGCGCCTGTGGCAGCTGTGGCACCTGGGATAACACCTGGGATAACACCTGAGGGTGCTGCAGCGTCTGCATGAGCCGTTGGCGCTGGTTCTGTGGCTGTGGGAAGGTGAAGCGGGGAGGTGGTGGGAATGACGGGGGGTTGCTGAGAGAACCACGGATAGTAGGACTGGGGCGAGGCACTGAAAAGGTGTCGGGTATGGGTGAGACCATCTGGGATGGTGTGCCTGTCCACATGTGTGACACGGTTGATGGTATGGGTGGTGTGCATGATGGTATAAATGGTGGTATGGATGATGGTATGGATGATGGTATGGATGATGGTATGGATGATGGTACGGATGATGAGAGGGATGAGGGTATAGATGATGGTATAGATGGTGTTATGCATGGTGGTGTAGATGAAGGTATAGATGGTGCAATGAATGATGGTGTAGATGATGGTATAGATGGTGCAATGAATGATGGTGTAGATGAAGGTATAGATGGTGTAATGCATGGTGGTGTAGATAAAGGTATAGATGGTGCAATGAATGATGGTGTAGATGATGGTGTTGTTGGTGATGCCACGTGCGGCGGCCATAGGAACGAGTTTCGCGTCGTCTTGAAAATCGGCGCCATGTGTGTGTTAAGCCATGGGGAGGAGGTGTGCGATACACGTGTCATGTCGTGTGTCGTTCCAGCAGTAGATGCCATGAGCGGGAGCCATGGGGAGGTTAGCAGTGAGCTGTCTAGCATTGATGCGAGTGTAGCCGCATCGATCAAAGGTTGCACCCCAGCAACACGAGCAGAAGCAGCAGCAGCAGCAGCAGCAGCAGCAGCAACACCAGCAGCAGCAGCAGCGACGACGGCGGTGGCAGCAGCAGCATGGGCAGAACCAGAGGTAGGGGCAGCAGCAGCCGCAGGGGCAGGCGGAAGAGTAAGTGCAGCACAAAGCGACTCCACAGAGGAGACATGAGGCGGCATTTCTTGGAGGCCTTTGTATAAGTTGAAGCCGTGGGTGATCGAGTCGTGATTGTTGCTGTTGTCATGTTCACAATCCATAGAATCACTCGCCCCTTCCCCGCCACTCGTGGTAACCTCAGTCGCCTCGCAGCTTTCGCTCGATCTGTCACTGCCAACGCCAACGTCAACGTTAACGTCAACGTCAGCGTCAGCACCCACCATGACCTCAAGACTACTGCTGGCACGATCGCCACGGCCGCCGCCGCTGCCGCTGCTGCAAGCCACGCCGCCGCTACTGACAGTTGCATCATTTGCTCCCTGATGAAAGTTGAGCTTTGCGCCAGAGCCGTACAGTCGCTTGGCCGCCACGTCATACGCCATTGCGGCGTCCGCCGCGCGCGGAAACGACCCCAGCCACAGCCGGCGCTGGCTCCGCGGCTCGCGGATCTCCGCCACCCACTTCCCCCAGCTGCGCTGCCGCACTCCGCGGAACGTGAACAGCGCGTTCTGCGGGCCGCCCTTGAAGCCCTTCCCCGCGCGCTCGTTGCGCTTTTTGGGCTCTTTTCCCCCCCGCGCGGGGCTCCTGGGCTTCAGGGGGAAGGTCGGCGCAACTCCCGCAGGCCGCGGAGGTTCCGGGCTGCGGTCCTTACTTGAAGATGGTCTCGGGCTCATGCTTTTTTGTAGGGACCGACGAAACGACGAACGCAGCGGAACGAGAAACGTTTGTCGTGGGGGACGGAGTACGCACGGGGAGCGAAGAACCGAACGCAGCGGAGCCGAACGAGGGTTCGCAATGTCGCAAGTTATCGTCCAACGAGGGTCTAAGTGTAACGGAAACGCGGAATGGTCGACAAGCGGCGTGTTTCGCGGAAAGGGAACGCCTTGCCAAGAATAACTCGAAACTGCCTTTCACACTGACTGCTACTTTGTGCTGTCCATCATATCAAGCGGGCGTCTGAAGCATTGAAGGGGCGTTCCGCGCGAGCATGTTGGGTTCAAACGCTTTATCCACCGTGCTTGTGACGCGGCTGACTCAAAAGTCTGCCGCGGGGGAGGGGGGAACATCTGAGGAAGCAGCAAACGGAGCATCCATTGCTGCAGCTGAACATTGTGAGCAACGGAGAAGCCAGAGAATTGCGCGACAATGCGCGCAAACAACTGCGGGGAAGAACGCGGGCCAGGCGGCAGCGCCGCGGGGCTGGGTCTGCGTGGGAGGCGCGCGGAGGAGGGGGTGAAATCGAGTGGAGATATTGATGGCTGAAGAAATCCCGATGGAGATACCCATCAGGAGAATCGAGAGACAAGGAGTGAGGCGGAGAGGCGAGGTCACTTCGGTTCCGTCGCGAGCGATACGAGTGTGGTCTGGGTATCGCGATGTACGTCATCATGACATCGGATGCCGCTATCTCGTTCGATCGGCTCAGGCGGGGAAGATCCAGCCGGGAGCACGTGACGCAATCTAGCGTATTGCGGATCCTCTCATCGCCTGTCAGATAAGGGAAGCGAGGGAAAAGAGCTTCTCCCGTGCCGCCTCGTGAACGAGAGAGAATCTTTCCCTCACTTCCTCCTCACTCGTCGTCTGCCTCCTCTTCCCCCACCTCCTCTCGCGGGGAAAGCGAGGGTCCCCATAACTTGCTGCTCCCGCTGCTTCCGCCGGGGCTTGACTCTTTCTTTGCTGGCCAATGGGGTGTTTATGCACAAAATCCAGATTCTAGCAGCCATATCTTTGGTACTTCAGAAGGAGCTGGTACTGCTATCTTAACTTTCTTAGGCGGTTTCCATCCACAGACACAAAGTCTTTGGACATAGCTCATCACCATCTAGCAATTGCTGTAATGTTCTTCGTTGCTGGACATATGTATCGTACCAATTTTGGAATTGGACATAGTACTTTCCTTTCCAGATCAATTTCAACACCTAGTAAAATATTTGAGAGTTTTGTTATCAGTTCACGACTCTTCTGCAAGGTGTTGAGGCTATTTGTGGACGTGTTACTAGTTCTAATATATCTCTTGCATTGGTAAATCCATGGATCTGCGCAAAGGTAAACTCTACTGACCATTTTGTACTAATGCCTCTAGCTTCTAATGGATTCGCATGTGCCATTCCAGTAATAGCTAAATCAGGCTGAAGTTCTACTGAGACAATTCAAATCCAACTTCCCGTCGCCAATTGCAGAGCGCAAAACTTCGCATATTTGTTTCGCCGTCCAAAAATACTAGCTTCTCAGTGCAGGGAGGATAGTCAGCCATAGCGGGGATGCACTGTGCTAGGCTTGCGTCCGCTCCAGCGGAGATTTCTAGCCTCGTGTAGGTCGGAAGCATGTGATATCGGCAGCAACCTAGGATCCGGATGTGTGAGATTTTTCGCAGTCTTGAGCGTGTGGCTGCTCTTAATTGCTTGCAATAGACCTTCACGTGGGTCTATGCACCTTCTTGCAAGTCCCGACAGACATCCACCGCCAAGCTTGATGCCGAAGTGAGTCTAGGCTGTGAAATAGGAGCGTTAGAATCTAGATTCAGTAGCAGTTCCGTCCGTATCTGGCAAACGAAGAGATGCTTGAGCAGCAGATGTGAAAACGGAGATTTGTGGGAAAAGAAACGATTGCCAGCTTCAGGAAAGGATGGTCTGTGGTCAGGTTAAAGGAGGGGGGGAAACCCCTCTGGGTGTTAACCACACCTGGCTGTCGGTCGTAACCCGCCTCCCCATTTGTTTACACTCCTCGCTGGGTCAACGAGGTTGTTCTATCCACTCCCAGATGAGCACCTGTGTAACCCCCTTCTGGGGGGCTGGCAGAACACGCCGCAGGGGGGATTTGATCCCGGGACCTCATCTTTCGGAAGTGAACCAGCTAACTAGCTGGGCCACTTCAGGATGATGGTCTGTGGTCAGGAGAGCCAATTTCGGGGCAGCGGTATCCAGACTCACGGATTTGGTGTGATATTTGCCACGTCATACCCTCGCTTGGCCTTGCACAAATCTATGGCAGGAATCACGGCGCTGACAGGGACGGCAGAACGAATGCCATGACGGACCGATATTTCTTCCAGCGATATCGTTAGTCCATGCTTCGTTAGAGAGTAGTCCCGATCCATTATTGCACTTGACCTTAGCTAGAAAATGTGCTAAGGGTACATTCCTGGATCTACAGAAGTGTCTCAATGCCATTTTTCCTGAGCCGCGTCTACACATTTAATCAACCTCGTATCTCAAAATGTGAATATATCATGACACTGGGCAACCAGGAAACCTGTACAGCTGTGCGCATCTGATTGGGTGGCATTAATGACAAATGAGGGGGGGGAAACCCCTTTGGATGTTACCCACACCTGGCTGTCAGTCGTAACCCCCCTCCCCAATTGTTTAGAATCGATGGGTCAACGACTTGAGGTATATCCACTCCCAGATGAGCAGTGCGAAACCCCCTTCTGGGGGGTTAGCGGAACACGCCGGCACTGGGGTTTGATCTCGCAACCTCATCCTTCGGAAGTCCTATCTTTCTGCTTGGGCCACTTCAGGATGGGGTGGCATTAATGGCAGTACACACCCATTTCTTCAACCGCCGGGCAGGGGTGTGGTTTTGGCACGAGATTTTTGCGCATGTCAGCCTGATGACGCGCAGGGTCGCATTCTGGTCAAGGCCCCGCTAGACTTTTTTCCCGTGTGAAATTTGCATTGTGTGGGTGTCTACGTGCATCTGGTCGGGTCGCGCGAGACCTTGACATTTCGAACCGCATGCAAATTGTTGAAAATAACGGGGCATCGTGCAACCCGTCCGCGACTTCAGCGCGTTCTTAAGTCGCTTCTGAGGTCGCACTACGAACCTCCTATCAACCAATTTCTTAACAAGTAGGTCATCGCACACGACCAAACTTGTTAGAAGGTTGGTTTTTGCACCTCCAAACAAACAAGTTTGAGCACTGACATTGCCGGTCGCACATGTGCAGTGGAAGTTCGCAGCCCATAAAATTGTGCAACAATTTATGTGGGCAAAGGTCCAGCTGTAACCCACTCTCTTGAGTACACTATCACCCTGGCCAAACTTCCGCTGCATTGAAATGTTGTCTCGCACACACCCAAAAAGTGGTCGTTTTGATTTGCCTCTATTTCCAATTGTTGAAAGTGATGAAAAACAGTCGCATGCTGGTAGCTAAACGATACGTGATTGCTGAATCATGAGAGCCAGCGTCAGTATTGTCGCCAGCTGTAAGTTAGAGACTGCTACGAGGTTTTGGTTACCAAGCAGGGCTCTCGTTATCAGACCATTTTGGTCTGATGGTCTGAATTTCGGACATATTTTTTTTATTTTCATCTGATTTTCCAATCCAGATCAGACGAAACCTTTTTTTTTCCCGGAGGACCCGTCTGATGAAACAGACGCCCTCAAATTCTAGCAAGAGCCCTGTTACCAGGCATTGCCCAAAGTAGCAAAAAGTCACCTGGTAGTCGCTTGTTACAAAGTTGCTGGTTCGGAAGTTCCTGAAATTCCTTCTAAGGCAAGCTTTCAAAAAATGCATGTTTTTACTACCGTGAATGCTAATGTGACGATTGCAATCAAATTACCAAACAAGGGCTAGAAAAGCACACGTGTGACAAAAAATAGGGAAAGGAGAGTGGGGAGGGGAGGCGGTTGGAAACGAGCAAGGTTGTGTAATACCGCCAACGAGGCTCGGGCTATTCACGAAGCGTAGGTAAACACAAAGGTTTGGTGAAGCTAGCGCCAGGGCCAAAAACTGGTTTTAGGACACCCTGCCATATTAGTGTTCCCCATTCCCGTTGCATAGTCAGGCAAGTCAGTGTCTTTAGGCCAGTTGCCTAACTATGAAAAGGAGGTTTTGGGAATAGCCTGATTGCTACTGCATCAACCAAATATCACAAGCCGATACTTCCCCCACATGCTACTCTATACGAATCACCACCAACCAGGCAACACATCACACATTCTCATCAACCGCCTGCCCTGCACGAGCAGTTGTCTCAGGGACTGCTGCAGGGTTTAACTGTGTGTCACTCGAGTTGCTGCCAGTGAAGTCTCGCATTGGCCGTTTGTTCCTGTCGCCACGGAAAACCCTTGCGACCCCAAACCAGTCCATGTAGTATTTGAGGAGAGAGTAGCGCATGAGGTCTCCTAAGGAGGGGTCTGAGATGCTCCCCCCGCCCCTACGTTTTGATGATGTTTTGCTTGCTGAACCCCCTCTCCCACCCCACTGTGCTCAGAGGCAGCACAACAACTGCTTGCCACAACTTCATGATGGGTAGGAGCGCTCCCACTAGTCGTCATCCTGGTACTGGAGCCGTGTGCAACCCCCAACTGCGGAGAGTCACTACACAACGGGAGTGGACTACGGAGGAGGGCACGGGGTTGTGCGAGTGATCGTAGCGCTCTGCTAGCGTTCTTACTGCTTGCTATGTTCACTGAGAAGTTTGGCAAGAATTCCACTAAGGAAAGAACAACTTGCATTAACAAAGTTGATAGAAAAAAAAAAGAATAGAGTACAACAATGAGGCATGCAGAACAAAAGACTAGAATGGCATGGAACTCCTGTCAAACATATGCTGCATATTGTCTAGGCTGTAGTGGGGTAGCCCATATGGGGTACAACCCAAATTAGGGTTTACTACTTGTACTCCTGCATGCTGCTAGTTCAACCATTCCTGCTGCTAGATTCTGA